GCACTCGGGAGGCAGAGCCAGGCGGATCTCTGTGAGTTCGAGGCCAGCCTGGGCTACCAAGTGAGTTCCAGGAAAGGCGCAAAGCTACACAGAGAAACCCTGTCTCAAAAAAACAAAACAAAACAAAACAAAAACAAAAACAAAAAACCCACCTTCCTCAACCATAGGTGTGTCCTCTATACTGCTCTGCCCAGAATTCTTCTGGCCTCTGCTGGAACACCCCCAGGACAGTAGGTGTACTCCCAACATGTAACAAGGCAATTGGGTGCAGGGCTGGCTTGAACAGACCTAACCTACCTTTCTTTCCTTTTCTTTGCCTTTTCCCCCTATTCATTTCTTTCCCCCTCCTCTTCTCCCTTCTCTCCTTCTTCATTAAACAGGACCTCGGGTAGCTCAAATTTAATAAGTGGTAGACACTGGCCTTGAACTCCTGATCCTTCTACCTCACATTCCCAAAGTGCTGGGATTACATGTGTAGCCTTAAGTCTTTTGTAAAGATTTTAATTATGTATGTCTATGTGTATGTGTGTGTGTGTGTGTGTGTGTGCGCGCGCGCGCGCGCGCGTGCATGCGCGCGCACACGCGCGCGCAGGTGGCCATGGAAGCCAGAGGTGCTGGATCCCTCTGGAGCTGAATGTTTGTGTGTTTGTGAATCACATCATGTGGGTACTGAGAACTGAACTCAGGTCCTCTGCAAGAGTGTGCTATGTTCCCTTAATCATTATGGAGCCATCTGTCTGGCCCTTAAATAGTCTAAAGGGTCATGAGCAGGAAAGATGCTATTGGCTGAGGAGGTAACTAGCATTTCCAGTTGACATTTCCAATTCAGGAGGAGGAGACTCAAGAAGGATCCACTGCCAATGCATAGCCTCTCAGCTCCACTCGGCCCAGGGTTAGCGGTTTCCCTCGTACACTGTGAGCTGCCCCCTCCTCACTCCAGCAGGTCGTTTCCCTGCTGTTTACCCAGCATGCCTGGGATTTTCCAAGGCAAGGTCTCCCCAGTTCCAGGTGCTTTCTATATCCCCTGCATGCCCTTTTGCTTTGGGGGGGCGCTGAAGCAGGAAGGTTGCTATGAGTTCAAGATCAACCTGTCTCAAAAAACACAAAACCACAAAAAACTGTCCCTCTTCTGATAATTAGTATAAAAATAATAGCACTTCACATTCACCAAGCTGGTGAAAATCAACACATAACACTAAATGGAGGAGTAGTGGGGGCACTGAGTCAGGAAAGCAGCAGTACCCTCATTTTGTGGCAGTGCCCAGGGAAGCTAAGTGCTGACACACCTATGCCACAGGCAGGCTTCCACTTCTTGGGGGTTTTGATAGCTAGTGTTGTCGACTTGACAAAACCTGGGAATCTTCTGGGAGATAGACCCGTGGGGAGGTTATCTTATGTTCACTGAGGGTGGATGACCCACCCACTGGGGATGGTGCCATTCCCTGGCTGGAATCCCCTGAATCTACAAATGGAGGAAGGAAGTTGAGCAACAGCATGCATTCATTGCTCTCCATTTCTGAGTGCAGATGTGAGCAGCTTCGTCAAGCTCCTCCTGCTGTGGCTTCCCTGACATGACGCAGAATAAACCCTCCGGGAGTTGCTTTTGTCAGAGTATATTATCCCCACAACAGAAAAACACCTAAGGAAAGGGTCCAAGGAACGACCCTCACGTGGGCACTGGAGCCAGACAAGGTTGCTCATTCAGCACTTGCTAGCAGGGAGCAGTGATAATGACTGCAATGTATGGCAGTAGAGAAGAGAGCTGGTTTATTGATACACTGATGGTTAAAGTCAGTAAACCGGGGACCAGAGACCAGCAGGGAAAAGCACTTGGTTACCTGGGCTTAAGCCACATAAAGGTAGAAGGAGAAAACAAACTCCAGAAAGTTGTCCTCTGACCTACACACACACACACACACACACACACACACACACACACACACAC